TATGACAGGAGCTTCGCCGATGGGGATCGGCGTCTATAACAAGAGCGTCGTCGGTGGGAACCGGCGGCTATGCCATGGCATGGCCCAGCAGTTGCGTGCTTGCCATGGGTCATACCTGCCTGCCATGTGTCATACCTGCAGGCATCTCCCTGGTGTTTTGTGCCCCTCCCCGCCGGCAGGAGCGCCGATGTTGTTTTGACCGTTCGGTGATATTCAGTGGTACGGATCTCCATAACGCTATCTGAGACGCCCGTAATGACGGCCGAACCACCCGGTCTTTAACACGGGCCCGGGTGCCCGGTTGGATACTTTCTGCACGGGTGGGGGTCAATTTGCCTCCCAGAAGTTGGTGTCCAAAAAGCCCAAGGGCGTGCATTCTTGTTTTAAGCAAAAGGTTGCATGCTCATTTAAGATCAGTGACCTTTCTTGACCTTTCTAAGGTCATAAAATCACACACGACTGTCTTGAGTTTTGCATTTGAATAAGCGTCACAGGTTAACCTAGCCAGTATGCTCCCAAAAATAAAATGTTGGCCTGAGTCACTTTCGGCCAATGACCTATTCTGACTTTTGAGAAGTCAAAGTAAGATGTAAAATGCGATTCCTGCTATTATTGATTCGAAATGACCAACAGAAGCTACCCCATACAGCATTCTCTAGAGTAATAAAACAGGTTGAGCTTAGCCTTGGTCTGACCTACATGCTTGACCCTGGGTCAATGGAATTCGTTGATTTCTTTGCTGTGTTGCCATAGAAACTATCACACAAGCTTCGTCTGACACTTCGCTGTTGCATGAAATTGAACTATTTCCTAGAAATTGTCCTCACTGAATCCATGACTTGTAGATTTGACCCCTCATAGAACAGCGACCTTACAAGGTGTATCTAATTTTTTACATGGAACGATCTGCTATTTAATTGTCTACAGCTATGCAAAACTTAGCGTCCCAACACCTCGCCGTTCGGACACCATTCCGGAAAAACCTTCGGGAGTCAAATTGACCCCCACCCGAGTGCGCGTGGTGACGTGGTGACCCGAGACGCGTGAAAACTCAAGACCCCTGGTGACGCTCACGCCAACGACACGTTAATGTACTTCAATGACGGATCTTGGTTTTCGTCAACGGGGAAGTGCACGCAATATAGTGGGTCTCCCTGGCGTTTGCCCTGCCCCCCCCCCCCGCCAAAAAACTGCTCCGATTTTGGTCTTTAAATTTTGATCTCTATGCATGCTGTTGCATGCGGAAATCTGCCTTCCTGTGTGGAGTCCTGGAAAATCAGGCGCGGTGCGTATAAACATACGTGATGTGCATTCATTTTCTGTACATCATGGTGGATCCTGCTACTATGATGCTAAGTATTTCTGGGAAGATTTGGCAAAAAAGTTAAAGTTGGCTGCTAAATATGATAAAAATCAAGCTCGACATCCGATTCCGAGGCTGGTTACAGATAGCTGGTTTTGCAGCGTTCAGCCATCTAGGCGACGTAATCAGCTGACGGTTAATAGCTAATGCAGCCCTTTGCTTTGACTGTGATGTCGAAGCATGATTGCGGCGTAATGCCGGAGTAAAGCATACGGTTGCATTCAAAATACGTCAAGAAATTATCGCGAATTATCTTAGGCGATTGCACACAAAATTCTTTCTAGCATCTCCGGCTGCTCTTCTCTGCAGTTAAAGCGCCAAACTAAACCGTCATTGTGTAGATATCGGTCTTATTGGTACGTAAATTAATTTAGCGAGGCCCGTACGCAAGAGCAGGTGTAGCACCACCAGTGTCAAAAGAGCTGGCGCTCGCAAGTGCGTGTAATGGCAACATGCAACATACAACATGCAATATTTCGGCAACGGTGTAAGACCCCTCTGACTCGTCCTTCTGACCTCAGTGGAAGAGGCAGGCCAGACTTAGTGGACGGGCAGGCCAAGAGCAATGTGGAAGGCCTCGAATCATGAGTGTCCCGGCCGCAGGTTCACATTTCGGCCCTGTTAACAACGTGGGGCCCCGATGAAATGGGAAACCCTTAGACCAATCGGGACAGCACAAGCGCTCAGGACATCGAGGGTGCGGTGTCAGGTGAACAAAGAGGCTCCCGTCGGTAGAGTACGATCCTCCAAGCAAAAATGAAGTACCCAAGACCGTTGTGATGGATCCCTGTGCCAGCAAGAGTGTCCGGACAGGTTAACAGAAAATGTCCCGACAAGGATGCAGTTTGGTTCGCAAATGAGATCAAAATCGCAAGAGCATATGCCACGGCTCCTGAGCATCCTGTGCCGCGGTGCGTTAGCTTATATGGCCTCAAGCAAAAGCGCATGGCCCTGCGTGCAAATGGAAAGAATACGAGACCATTGTTAAGGGCCCTCGAGCAGCCGAGATAAACCCGACGGTTTAACATACGGAACCACCGGCATTCGCGTATAGCGCCTTTCAGGTGAATGAAAAGAATCCGTGGAGATCCCTGATCGATCAAGAGGACACCGGCTGGCTAGCATCTTAGGCACCGATAAGAGCGCAGGGTTCTTCGAGCAAACGCAAAGAAATGTCTCGCAATGAGTTCTTGCAAAATGCTCTGGTAATGTGGCAAGCGACTTAACCATCGGATTGACCCGGTAAGTGAACGTATAGGGGCCACGGAAGCAAGGTAAGGCCCCTGGACAGCGTAGTTAGCCTTAAAACCTCCCCAATCGCCATCCTTTTATCAGCGAAAATTGTTTTGTCTGGTCTTGGGCCCTCCACTTTCGCTTGCGGCACTTCCTGGTCGCCTTGAGGCCTAAGGACGTCCAATTTTGATGTGCTTTGTGTAAAAAGCCTGCGTACGCTCGGCCGGTTATGGGCCTCGTCTTCCGGGCCCAAGTGGGGGGGGGGGGGGGGGGGGGATAAGTCATGGTCCCGTGGCTTAAAATGGATTCACCACTTGAACAAGAAACACGTTTGGTCTATGTCGTTTTTACGTTGCTCTATGGCGTGGTAACATCAATATAGGCTTGCAAAGCTGAAAAAGTGCGATTTTCAGCGACACTGACCCGTGACTTGGCATAATGGTGTTAGTTATTAGCCTAGCAGCGCGGAAACTATTACCCAATGCTGAGACCTCGTTGGGACCAGTCCGTTGTATTTCAGCGAGGCACTATCTTTCTTACTTTGGAAACAGAAGGTGGGGAGGGGGGGTTGCGTCGACCTCGTACCCTCCCTATCATTCCGCGTTATGAAAAAGGGGTGACTAAGGCAAGGGTTCAATTCAACTGAGCGTACTTCGCCAGCACTACAACGCCATCGCATACTGGCCTATAACATAGTTATGGCGTGTTTGTCGTGAAATATTGCGGCTGAGCGAATGCTTTCATTCCCTGCTCCCCCCGAGCTGCGCTTCTGCTTTGCATACTGAAATTTCACCAAAACATAGACCGATGCATTTCCTCAAAATGGGAAAAGAACGCAGCTAAATATCTTGAAACAGCTTAACCACCGGATTTTAGATGGGGCTCAAACTGTGTCATAAGCAATTCAGAAAAAAACATATAACCGTGCTAGTTACTGGTGTCCTGTTTTTCTCCGAATGCAATTATGACTGGTCGCTCTCTACGTCCTAGGGAGCATCTTGTTAATTTCGGAGAAAAAGTCATCGAAGCGACGTTTTACAGATATGGCCTTTACGCCAGCCTCCCCCTCCCCCCAAGCGTGTGTTCATATGTGGGTCGGAAGACGGTAATTTTGCAACTAGTTTGACAGTGTCAGACCGGTTACATGACGGCCGGTAATAGAGCAGCACTTCACGATCCTTTGGTAATAGTTGAATAAGGAGACCAAGCCAAATGGCTCGTTGGACACCCATAACCATATAAGGAGTCTTGGTCCTGAGTCCTAGCATTTAGGTACACACGGTCCTAGCACCAAGGCTATCTGCGGTCTACGGTGGAGGCACATCAGGGAAGCTAAACCATCACCAGATACCTTCATCAAACGCTGCGCAGTCTTCGTAGAGTAGCGCAACAGAAAATCATGCTGAGCTTTGACCGTCAATCATGCATTCCCCAGTCTACCAACCTCCAAAGGCAACAGCCTAGGTAGGGGCTAAACTGCAATATTTAAATCGAAGTTGCTTAGGGGATACAGGCGCCCAGTAAAAACACAACTGAAAACAATAACCAGAAAAAGCTGCTCCAGCACAACACCAGAAAAAAAAACGCTGTACGCTGAGCCCTTAAGATATTGAACGAGTGCAATTTTGTGTTACTTTGAATTTAAGCCAAGCAAATTGCATTCATAAAGCCACGGCAATCACTAACGAGTGTCGCAGCGGGTCCAGTCGTCTTATTCCTGCTAGTTTCACTAAACTGGAAACTGAATCATATGCTACTAAAAATCCTGGACTCGAAACTTCCGAAAAAGACCGTCGTCTTCCTTCTTTCGCATTAATCTTGCACGGCTAAATTGCACGGTATTACCAAAAACCACAAGCCGACCATTTCACTTAGTGTCATGGCATTCATGTACGGTGACCTTTAGACATTGCATCCGTACACAGTGACCTTTAGGCATGGTATCCGTATACGGTGCCCTGTAGACAGTGCCTCAATAAGTGCCGGCAGCATGACTGCTGCGATGCAGGCACCCAAAGCTGCTTACCGGAGCACTGGTGCGGCTGTGTATAAAGCCAGGTAGGCTTTGTTGCGGTGAAGGGAGGGTGACCGCTTCCCGGGGTTTGGACATCCGGTGGACATCCGACATCCGGTTTGGACATCCACCTTTTGATCAGTGACCCTTGGAAGCTGCTAAATGATGCAAACTATGACTTCTCACGAAATGAGGAAATTCGCGTGTTCGACATTGTAGGACAATCCAGAGCAGAAACCAAAAAAGTTCATGTGCGATTCCCCAACCAGAATGCGCACCGCCGCGCGTCGTCGGACGACGGCAGTGTGGTTGGCAGCTTCGTGCGCAGCGTGCAATTCCGGACGACCCGACGCCGGGGCGCTGACCTCCGGGCTGACCCGCGACGAACAGCTGATCCTGGAGGCGCCGCCGGCGCTGAAGGAGACCCGGCAGCCTGCCGGACGTCCGGCGTCTGCCGATGCCGAGAGCGCGGGCCAGGTGTAGCATGCTCCGCTGACTGTCAGCCAGTCCCAGCCGCACTGGAGGAGACCCGGTAGCGCGCCGGACGTCCGGCGTCTGCCGACACCGAGAGCGCGGCCAGATGTAGCGCGCTCTGCTGACTGTCAGCCAGTCCCAGCCGCACGACGTCGACGTCAAGATCGGCGACGGTGTCGTCATCGTGGAGGCTTTGCTCGAGAAGACGGGTGGCGCGGACCTGCAGCATCAGCCTGGTGCGTCGGCTCACGCTGCCTGATGCTGTGAGTTCGGACCGGTGACCTCTCGACTTAACAGAACTCGACGCGGCAGAGATGAGCGACACTCATATATCCATCCATCGCTGAGTTCCAGAGAACAGTTTGACGCGGATAATTTCCTGTGATCCCTAGAATCCCGTGTGTTAGATATGCTGGACTTAACAGTTCATGTCATGTATCGCAGCTCGAGTTGCATTATGCTGGTAGGGGCGGCGACACCAAGGGGACGTGTAGATGTATCTCCACAGTTTTCGAATCGTGAGGGACTATTCCCCACGACGTAAGGTAAGCACAAAATTTTTAAATACGTATAAGCGTTCCGGTAAAGCGAGTAATAATATACGGTCGCTAGACATACTTGACAAGGCCATAGTAGCCGGAACCTCTCGTAAGTAGGATTACCGATATTCATTTTTGATTGCTTCTTTCAAATCACCACCCATGGGGCAATGGTAACTACCTTCAAAAAGTCTGAGGCTAGGACGCTGTGCCCCTGGCACCTGATTCCCACGCCTCTTCCTTCAATACGTTTGTTAAAAGGGTAGTGTTCCGAAACGACTCTTACAATGCCGTCGAAATTCCGAACCGAGCATGCTTCGTGCGAATTCTCTCAATAAGAATCCCTTTACATTGCAAACATCTGAGCACGCATTCGCCACTTCGGTTGTGCAACGTCTTTCTCATGAGTCTCAGTTGTTCCGCAGCGGTGAAGGCTCGTATCTGGTTGTGGGGCGATGTGGGCGCACGCCCCCAATTTTGGGCTGGGTCTCTGCGGCAGTGGGACCTGACGCATATCACCATATCAGCACACAAAAGCATATTCCCAGCGTCTCTTAGGTCCCCGTAGCCCTTCGTTAGCTCTGGTACGCCAGCTTTGCGAACGACCCCATGCGATCGGCCGTATAAGCTGGCTCTGGCGAGCTCAGTCTCCGTGCTGGCTCTGGCGAGGCCTGACGCAGCGCTGGCTCTGGGAAGACTCGGGCTTAGTTCTGTTCTAGACTGTTCTAGCGGGATCGCCCGCGACAAAATGTCCGTGAAGTTAAAGATTTATTTACAGATTTACTCGGTGCCGAGTTCCGATTTCTCTGAAAACCGCCGTTTAACAAATATGGCACAAGAACATCAAAAATGACCTTTATTTCGCAATATTATGTAACCTTCGAGGTAGAAAGCTGGGCCAAAGAACAGAGAGCTCGATATCACCCAAAAACTACCGACCGGTTTAAAAACTGTAAGCATAAAAATGTTCACAGGCGCACGAGCTAGCGTTCTTCCAAACGTCCTGATCTCTCAAGGTCACCTTTCAAGGTCAAACGTGGTTTCAAAAGCCAAAAAGCTCAATATCACCCAAAAATTACGGGCCGATTTTAAACTTACAAACATCAGGATACTCACCACAGAAAGAAATAGCGTCCGTCAAAAAGTCCTGACCTCCCAAGGTCATTCTTCAAAGTCAAATGCGGGTTCAAAGGACAGGGAATTCTAAAGGACGGAGAACTCCATATCACCCAAAAATTACCGACCGACTTTAACCTTGCAAGCGTCAGAATACTCACCACAGCAAGAACTAGTACCTGTCAAAAAGAATTGGCCTCGCAAGGTCATCCTTCAAGATCAAATGCTGGCCCAAGGGATGGGAAACTCAGTATCACCCGGAAATTACCGGCCGATTTTTAACTTGCGAACATCAGAATATTCACCACAAAAAGACCTACCTCTGTAAAAACCTGCCCTCTCCAGGTCATCCTTCAAGGTCATACGGGGGCACAAGGGACGGGGAACTCCATATCACCAAAAAATCACCGGCCGGTTTTAAACTTGCAAGCATCAGAATGCTCACCACAGAAAGTACTAGTGGCCGTCAAAAAGTCCTGAATTATCGGAGTCACCCTTCAACGTCAAACGGGGGCTCAAAGAACGGGGGAATTCAAATGACCCAAAGTCATCGGTAGGTGTTAAGCTTGCAAACATCAGAATGCACACCACAGAAAGAACTAGCGTCTATCCAGCTAGTTCCCGTTTGTTAAGCCCGTATTTGACCTTGAAGGATGACCTTGAGGGGTCAGGACTTGTTGACGGGCGCTAGTTCTTTCTGTGGTGAGTTTTCTGATGTTTGGAAGTTAAGAATCGGCCGGTAATTTTTCGGTGATATGAAGTTCTGCATCCTTTGGGACCACGTTTGACCTTCAAGGATGACCTTGAGAGGTTAGGACTTTTTGACGGACACTAGTTCTTTTTATGGTAAGGGTTCTGGTGTTTGCAAGTTTAAAATCGGCCGGTAATTTTGTGTCACATTGAGTTTCCGTCCTTTGAGCTCGCTTTTTGCTTTTGAAGGGTGACCTTGAGACTGCAGGACTTTTTGACGGACGCTAGCTCTTGCGCTTATGAATAATTTGGTACTTGCAGTTTTGAAATCGGCTGATAATTTTTGGGTAGTGTCGAGTTCCCCGTCCTTTGACCCAGCTTTGGACCTCGAAGTTCGCATGATATTGCAAAATAAAGGTCGTTTGCGATGTTCTCATGCCACATTTGGCCTCCAGATTTTGTTCAGAGAAATAGGAACTCGTCGCTGAGTAATTCGCTGAGGAAATCGCTAACTTCACGGACATGGCTGCAAAGGGATCTGCCGAGCTTTTTTATCAGAATTAGCTTTGTGCAACGTGATGAACTGTAAGTACGTTAAACACTTATGTCAAACGTCCCACCATGCCTTAGCCAAGTGGTGTAGACGCTCTCTGTAGACTTCCGTCTCCAGGGTGTTCATGAAACCAGTCACGAACGCTGCGTATCTTTCCTACTTAAGATGTTTTTGAGGATAGGCTGCAAGGCAACGTGGTGCCACTTTCTACTGTGCGCATTTTCCTTTCTGCTAATGGACGCATGTGTGGCGAGTCCCACTCTCAGCTGGACACGCCGTGATCTCGAGGGCTGATCGCACGAGCAGACTTTAAACGGGACCACCAGTCCGCGCTGCCCTAAGGCGGTGCAAGGCACTCGATGCTACGGTAGCATTCATCTGTTTACACAGCTCGTCAACGATCATAAGGTGGTGACACAAAGTTGGTTTGTTTCACCTTCCCACCACTTCCTCGTTGACGTGGTGCATTGCTTACCTTGAGAACGCGTGGCACCAGCGGCGGGCCTCGCTCGGTGGCTCGGGCATCTATTCTCACGGCAAAGAAGATGTCTATGTTTTAACATGATTGCATTTCCTACTCATACGAATGGGGAGCAAGCAGTATCCGAATAGCTCCCCGCATTTGTAAGTAAAAGGCTGTTGATTAGTAGCCATGAGGCGTGCCAAGTTCTGGTCATGGGCTTGAATAAGAAGTCCGCGGTATATCTTCCATCTCATCATGCTCCCGACCACGGCCGTGGTGAGAGGTGTGCCGGTCATCTACGCACCACCCCGCCGCTGCCGCGACGGCCTACTGTCGTAGACCTTGACCAATGACAAAGGAATGCTTAGCAAACTGAATAAGATGTCTGCCGTCTTTTCAGAGTGACTGGCTGCAGATCTGGGCATCGAGATTACGCCTCAGTCACGCGTGTTTCTTCGATTTGATTTGCTGCTTTGCCAGCTCGTAAACAGGTTTTGCAGGGAAACGGCTTATATTTCGTAACAATCTGCACAATGGTTGTCAGGTGTACAGCATGATGCTCTGAAATGGAGTTCATATAGTCTGTATTAATCCAGGTACGAGATTACGAGAAGTCCGTATTAGTGTCATGATCTTATTGCATAAAGATTGCAGTCCAAAAGTCGACGGTATGAGTTGTACTTGGGGCTGCAGCTATTTGCATAGGGCGCAAATCACCTGTCATTTAATTCAACACTTCAGTGAAGAGATTAGCCTGTCGGAGGTAAGGTGACTTTAAAAAGTCAGTTAGCAAACCTTGCGGAGTGGTACACTGGGAAATCACAAAACAGAGCTGCCAGCTGAGGTTGCAGCCAAGGGTTAGCCCGCGCCCGGGCGGCCGGTCGAATGTCCTTTGTTCGGGTGGCGGTCAATTTGAGCCCTCTGAGACCTTAGAAATCAAGAAGGCTAGAGACAGCAAATTCACAGAAGGTGTCGGCTTGTGCATGAGCTCACTTGTGACAAAATTTAAATTTGATAGGTCAGGGCCACGTGTCAAATGATGTCAAACAAAGCTAAACTCCAGATTTGTGGCTTAAGTGCCCCAGAAACTAGATATCTGTTCTGAGAAAAAGGTTACTGACGCTCGTGTAAGCTCCGTGAGTTTTTTGACCTTTTGAAAAGCATTATGTCCAAAATCGTTCAAGACAGCGCTGAGTTTTGCATTTGAATAAGCGTCAAAGATGACGCTAGCTAGCATGTTCCTTAAGCAAATTGTTCACCTGAGTCATTTGAGGCCAGTGAACTGTCCTGACCTTTAAAAAGTTCATGGAAGATGTGTTAATTGGTTCCCGTTATCAATAAATTTGAAACGTGCACGAGAAACTAGTCCATACAGCAAGTTCTAGACTAATAAATCAAGCTGGTCTTGACCTCGCTCTGACCTTCACACCTGGCGCTAAGACAATGCCATTTGTGCATGCAATTGCTGTGTTGCCTAAGAAACTATCTCAGAGATATATAGCTTCATCTAACACTCCGCTGTTGCACCAAATTAAACGATTGCTCGGAAACTGTCTTCTCTGAATCCATGGCCTGACTTGGACCTGCCGTAGGTCAGCGAGCTTACAAGGTACATCTAGCTCTTTTATACCAAACGATCTGCTTTTCAATTATCTACAGGCATGCAAAATTTGGCGCGGCTACACCGCGCCATTTGGAGACCATTCAGCAAAAACCTTTGGGGGGTCAAATTCACCCCTCCTGAGCGGGTGGCTTTGGCTGGCCATAGTCACCCATGGCTAGTCATGTCCCAGCGCTTCGCAACAATATGTTCACTTGCCTTTGCTTCTAACATAAAAGTTTGGACACAACTGACTTGGTGGCTGCTGGGATGGTGTTGGCAATACTCATGCATAATTTTAACGCAATAAACAGCCCTGCAGTAGACGGACCGTCGATTTGACGTGCCGCTGGAATGAGATCTGAAGACAATCGTCGAATGACAACGAAGAAAACCACATCGTGCAGGACGTTGTACTTGGGTGCCCTTGTGACTTTCATTGTCAACACGACTGAATCTTAACTGATTCAGATGGTGAAACCAAGGCCAGATCCTGGGCCAGATCATTGTTCGGTGCTCGACGACATTGGTGCTCGAAAATGTAAAACCAGTCTGTTACCTTCACTCTCTCGAATGCTACCAATTTTTTTTTAGGCGCTTATGGCGCACATAAGCATCTGCAGATCGCAACTCAGCAAGCACCCAGCCGGAACAACACGTCGGGCGATTGCGTAAAATCGATAGAGGGCTGGGTTGTGTGGGTGTTGTGTTTGGTGTGTTCTGTTTAACATGTGAAGCTTGTTTGGTTTGTTATGCCAGACTGGTAGACAACAGTGCGAGTGCGAGTTCAAGGTGTGCAGCATGGAGCAAGAAACAGTTTACGATTCGAATGACGACTCACACGTCGTGATGTGTGAAAAGGTTCAATCTCTAGCAGGGAGTGTCTACCAGGAACTAGAACGCATGATCGCAAAATATGATGAAGATGTAGTGAAAAATCTCATGCCACTGGTCGTGAACATTTTGGAGAGCTTAGATTTCTCCTGCACTGAAAATCAAGAGCATGAGGTTGAGTTAGAGCTTCTGCGTGAAGATAATGAACAGCTAGTAACACAGTATGAGCGAGAAAAACAGCTGCGCAGGGCATCAGAACAGGCAAGTATACACCTATTGATGTTTGTGCTTATAAGAAGTACCAGATCAGTTTGTTGGGGAATGCAGTAAGTAGCCACATTTGGAGAAAATAAGCTCAGGATGCTAGTATTGCCAATGTAGGCTTCCAATCTGTACGGCCCGAGAACGCTCAAAACTTAAGCAACATGGTGGTGACAGGGTGCCACAGCAACATTGTGCATTAAACCTTTTGTTTGTGTGCATCAAACTCAGGTCAGGCTGAAACACATTAGATTTTAAATAATTTTGTGTGAAAATTTTTGTCATTATTTTTATGCTAATTTACTTAACAACATTGCAATAGCCCAGTATGTTAAATCTCTGTGCTGGAAGTAGTGGTGGCTTGAGCCCAAAGCCAGAGCACCCAGATTTAGAGTGTAAATGTACCAAAATTTTTGCAGTGATACTGGTGCTTTTCCGCATTGTATGTAAACACATGTTGCCATCTCACCTAAGGTCTCTGGTGCCATGAGTTCAGCTCAGAGCCTCCACATGGAAGCTGAAGCTTTCTGCTACCAGCCAGTTATGTCCTTGACCTAGATCAGGCACTGGTTGTGATACATAATGTTCTGCACAACATTGATCAATTGAATTGGGTTAGTTTGGCAGGATCAGTACATTATGCAATATAAAACTCAGTGATATTTTATGCTTTATTGGCTAGCAAGCTGTTGTTTTTGGCACCCATATGGCATCATTAATGGAAGTAGTTGGGAACATTCAAGCTTGCTTGCCATGGGAATGGCTCACATCAGCTTACTTGACCACCTCACTGAAGGCAGCATGTGTGCCAAGGCCATGTGTTCATATTGCTAATTTTGTGTATTTTACTGTACTTAGTTTTGCAAATGCATTGAATTTCTCATTGATCCATGGATCACCCTGGTGTTCATATTAGGGGAGGGGTCAGGCAGAACTCTGGCAGAAAAATGGAGGACCTGCACAGGCAATACCAGATCACCTTTCTACCCAGCAAGCCATTGGTTAGGGTATAGTCCTGAGTATGACAAGTGACAATTAGTTCTGCGATGTTCATCTGGACACTGCAGGTCTATCAAGAAACACAGTTTTCCAGGAACAAATCAATGCTGTTTGCCCCACTGCTGATGGTCATGTGTCTTTTCTGTTGCACTAAACCTCACAGTCTGATTCACTGTACTTACACTGTTGCTGAATTCCATATGATAAAAAGGTAAGCTTGTGTTTGACATTGCTTGTCTGGTTTGCTGATTTGCAGAAGGGATAGAGGGAAATGTGAATGTGCTTATGAACTGACCTGAACCTATATTTGATGGCAATGTTTTATTTATAAATGCAACCAAAGCAGGACTGGGTGTGTGCTGTTTATTCATCCAGCCAAAGTGGTAGTGAGGGAACCATGCAAGTGATTGCCTTCTTGTTACTGTTCATCTGTACTAAGCGCTAAGATATTTTTCTGTTATGTTTGTCATTGAGCATTAACTTGTCATTATCATGGAGCTCACATGCTTATCATTCCCTAGGCTGTATGTGTTTCATGTGTGTTTTCAGAAACTTTTTGAGCTTGAAGACCACAATGAAGAACAACTCAAGAATTCCATGTCCAAAATTGAGAGCCTGGAATCCATTGTCAGGATGTTTGAACTCAAGACCAGAAATGCCTCTGACCATGGTAAGCCATGCTGGTGGAAAAACAGAATGTCATAACCAGCTGCTGGATACATTATAGATGAAATCACTGCTTGGAAGCAACAAAACATGCAGTTTGTAGGAGCATTGGAATAAAATAAAAAACATACTGTACATTGGGGTAGGCCAAGAAGGTGCTTTCACGTCCTTCATCAGGCTGCCTGGACAAGAATGCTGTCATTGTGTTAGGTAACAAACATTCCAAGAAAACACTGCTTGTAATAGGTATATGTGTTTAGTACAGTGCTATCAAGTATGAGTAGAGTATGCTGTTGGTGGACCTGAACAGCTCACCAGAGGTTGGTAATGAACCTGCTGGGTTGCCAAACCATTGCAGCAGAAAAACCAAACTCTTAGGTGATACTGGGAAAGAATGTAAAAAACTGCTTAAATTTTAGTTAATTTGTGTGGGGTGACACCCCAACCAGAATGTGTGTGTGGTTGCGCACCAATGAGGAAATTATTTTCCACATGATAACATTTCACAGCTTTGGCATTTTCCCACCGTAACAGGTCGCGTGCAACGTTATTACCATGTACTATTACATTTAGTCTTCTCAGTCACGTCTGCTGGAGCTTTTCATCGCGGCGAAACATGGCCGACATGACCAACAGATGCTTGACAGCTTCATTGTGTTCCCCTGCACGAAAATTTTAGCGGGTTTTCACAACGCATTTCGTCCGTCCTGCGGCCAGTGTACAGATAATTTGCTGCATGACATTCCATGTGATCTGCTCGTTTCCGGTTAGCTTTGTTTTGGGATGGTATCGTGGCTCGCCGGATCGGTTGTTGGTCTTCCCACTGGTGTTCAGTCGACCTGAAGCTATTCATATGGAATTAAAGTGGTCAAGACGCTCAATACCAGTCAGCAACAGCCAGGGTTGTGTTCAGAAGAGTGACACGTGTTCTGTTGCCACACCTAACCTGTAGTTGTGATCGCATGGGTCGATGGCGTCTGGCGCTCGATGATCGACCCCCACGCTGGGGAGAGCAGTACAGTTGGTGCGGGAGGCTTGCTCGCACCGTGCGCGGTGATAAAGACTGCCGACCTGTCGACCAAAACTGGTGGTAGATAGCCACGCTTTGTGCTAATTGAATACACACACTTCACTTTTTATCCATTCCCAGGCGCACCATCGTGCGTCTTATACTCGTGCGAGTAATATGCAGCGTGATCATATCAGGCTTGGCACACTGGTCTGTCACGACGTTTATGATGGTGCTGTGGTGGAATGGTATGCTCTATTGGGGCAAGCGTCAGATAGGATGGAGAAAGCTCACTTGTGACTTTTATGAAGTAAGTTTGCTCCTCATTGTGTCCTTTGTCATTACGTCATAGGACGTTTTTATGACGTCAGAGTCGCTGCCAACTCGCCGTTTCCGAATCGCCGCTGCAGCGGACGGGCTCACTCACTTGTAGCACTTCAACTGGCTGATAGGTGGTTTGTTAATTGACGTGTCTGGACTGAACCTACGATAGTTATGTTCGCGTGTTTTTAAGGTTCTCGTGGTGTTCCTGTATGTTTTTCCGCGATTCCTACAGGTATTCCTCCATTTTTGCCTACGGCGTTTTTTAAAGGTATTACATGCCCAGCATCATGGCCGTCATAACATGTAGAACTGCCAAAATGTGTGCGTTGCATATCATAAAACGCGGGTCGTGTTCGAAACTTGCGTTTAAGGCGTGAGGATGGTTGAAAACCAACTACTGTCCGTCGATGCGACGATTTTTGCTGATGTTCTCCAGGCACGAGCAAGTTCGTTGTCATATTTTTCGGGACCTTGTTGTTGGCTTCCCCTGACCTGCCTTCGCTTGAAATTGGTGTTATGCTCCTACATTCGGGCTGAAGGCGCATTACCCCAATCTTGTATACTGGTTGTCCAGATCATTAGAACACGATCAGGTCCTTTCTAAAGCTGGTGAACGGCTAAGTCTACATCATGAAGGGGTCTGATAGGTGCGTGGCGGAAGCGTATAAAGGGCAGCAGGGGAGGTTTTTGTACGCGTGGAGTTTCACTCAGGTGCGGTTGGTCAAGTGGTTGACAGCAATTTAAAGCCTCAAAACTGGATGGCGTCGTCGTCCTTTGATGGCAAGTTCCTTGAACAACACGCTCATTATTGATATCGCATCTATTTGTGTGCCTTTTGTGCGACCTTTGCTTAAAAAATAAAATACTGTGAATGATAGTACCACTGTTGCTGTACCGAACTGAAGCACATTTTGTTTGGTTGGCCAAATAATAGAAATGTTGCCTCACTCAGTCACCGTGTTGCAGCATCCTCAATCGTTTTGCGACATTGAGTTGTGCGTTTTTACTCAGCACCAACCGTAACACACACGCTCAATGTAAACCCCTCACCGCTCCTCACTGGCTGCTACGCTGTACTGAAAGGCGTTACTAGTGTTTCGTCGGCGCGAGGATATCAGTGGTACCAAGCGATGCCCGATCCTGATCCCTCCGTCAGTAATCGGAGCGCATGTAACGTGTGTAAAGCGCGCGTAACGTGCCGCGTCCTGCGCGTCCCAGGAAGATAGCCTTGTTGTCGCAGCCTCTCGCTCTCCTGCTTCCACCAAGCCATCGAATGTGCACATTGGTCCCGGACGTAAGTCGCGGCCTGACCTTGTGCGAGCGGACGTGACGTGGCAGCTGTGAGGGCTGTTTAAATGCAAACCGGACGGATGTGGATCGCGTGCGGAGCTGTCAAAGTTGGGAGTTTTGTATTTATTGCTGCGTCCCACCGAGGGTGAACTCAGCAGGGGGGTCCGTTCCTCGCGCGCTGTGGAAGGTGGCAGAACGTCCGGAGAGGGCTATGTTGTCGTAAATTCGGTATCAAATCAAAGCGTATTGGACTCTATCCGGAGTTGCCACCCTATTTCCGGTTTATCGCCGTGGCCCACCGGAGTTAAAGGTCAGTGGGGGCTCGTTTCACGTGCACCCTGGTGGCGCAGGACCCAGCGCTGGCCAGTGCTGTGTTTTGATAAAACCATCCTCAAATCTAAACCTATCGGACTGGGTTTTACAAAGTTCCTGGCACGTCGAAAGCGATCTCCCTGTTGACTAGAAAACATCGCACTTCTTAGGCCTAATTGTGGGCGTAAAATGACCGTCGGCGCGCCACTAAACTCAAATGATCATGGCCAAACTGTTAGATGCCCAGCGTTATGTTCAAAAGATCATGTTGAACAAAATTGTTACTTGCGGTCATTACTGTCGCCGTGTGGTTGCAGTTTGTTCTTTGCACGTGGTACTTATGTTTTCTACCATGCTGCCTATGTGACCTATGTATGTGTTCTTCATGGGACCTATGTGACTCAACTCTTCAGCCAAAATAGTCACTTTAGTGGCATGAATATCTTGTGCAACTGACTTGTTCCATGACTGGCGGCACCCATCACATACTGGGAAGCGTGATTTTCACAGTCGTTATCGTCCGTCTCCTTCCCCCCCCCCCCCCCGCCCCTATTTAACATTGTCCGTGAATGTGTTCATCTGGCGCGTGTGTTTCTGCAATGATGTGAGCATGCCCGCACCTTGTCCTGATGTAGCGTGCCCACCATTACGAGGCAGTAGCTATCCTCCTCTAGCGCTACGTGGCGGAACACCTTGTTCTGCTCGCTTCAGCTGGGGTTGACGGGGCGGCCCACAGGACCCCCTGACCCGGCCTGCTTGAGTCGACTGCGAACCCGCCGACCCTTCCCACCACATTCGTGGGGGAATCCTGCTGACCTCAACCCTGTGCCCAGTGTCGCGGCTGGAGGAGAAGGAGGACACGATGCGGAAGGAGTACGCCAAACTGCACGACCGCTACACGGAGCTGTTCAAGACGCACATGGACTACATGGAGCGCACCAAGATCTTGATGGGTACCGACCGGCTGGACCAGATGAGCCTGATGCGCACCAAGCTGCCGCTGGCGGGCGGGCAGAACTCCGCCATGGCCAGGTGGGGTGCGGGGTAGGGGTGGGCCGTCCGGTGCGCAGGGCGGCGCGGCTGCCGCCACAGGGCGGCCAGATGCCAGGTCCGCAGCTGGTGGGTGAACGATCTGGCTTAAGTGAACGCTGCAGTCGGGCATTTACTGTACGCGTCCTTTAGAAAAGGTCGGTTGTTATATAGCACGACGTTATCACTGACGTACGGTGGATAGGTAAAGGAACCCCGCATGATGGATCACGGCAGTCTTTTCTGAGTAAACTGTTTACAGTCAGCACGGTGTCGGCGATATCGGGCCTTCACGTGCTAATCGTCTGCCCGTGTCCGGCGTTTGACCCCGGCGCGAAGCTTATCTAAGGGGGCGGCAATAAACGGCTGCGCTTGGTGTCCCGGATGCGGCCCGGCCAGCCTTCGGCCGGGGCCTTGGCCGGCGTTATCGGGCCGGCCGGCTGGCTGCCGGCGCAGCGTGCCGCGCGGCAGACATCGATTTTGCGGCGGCGCCGCGCCACCCGCGCGTCGGGCTCGCCACCTGTCTGATGTCGTCCGCCACGCCCCCGTCTCGCCCCGCCCCTCCCCGCCCCACCCCCGGACCGGCGCCCCCGCGCCCGGCCGACGAGCGCTCCGGGTCGGACGCGGGCCGGGCCGGACCGCGGAGACGCCACCCTCTCCGGACCCGCGGCCGCCCGTCCGCTCTGATGGAGTGCCGACAGGCGGCCCTGTCAAACACGCCGCACTTCCAATGACGCATGTCGCCGGCGATGCTGTCGCAGCCCGTCGATCTGTTAGAGTCATTAATCTGAGCTGATAGGAGTATCGAAACAAGGTAGATAGTGGCATGCCCGGTGATGCGGTGCCCGTCTGCCACGTTGGCTGTGACGTCAGTCGCGGCGTCTGGAGTAGTTTCTGTTCCAGATTGTGATGTGCGCAGGATGCCTGTGGTAACGACCGGCTGTGTCGTCTGTAGCCGTCCATCCACCCCACTGCATTGTTCTATTGGATCGTAGCCTGCAAAAAGGCTTGCTGCTGTCCGTCTCTCACAACGTGGCGCGAGCCTGTGTCGCCTTTGGCGCCTGTGCCGGCAGTGCGCGGCCCGCGTGCCGCTGCTGGCCGCGCGGCCGGCCGCCGCCTCCGTGCCGCTCCAGGCCGCTGACGGTGCAGCCGCTGGCCGTGCCCGGTCCGCCCGTGCTGAGAGTGACCATCCGCTCGGCCGGCAGGTCCGCCGGGCCGCTGTCCTTCGCGCTGCAGTCGCTGGACTCGCGGCCGGCCGCCGCCTCCGTGACGAACCAGGCCACAGACGGTGGCGCCCCTGGCGGCCAGAACGACAACCACGGGCCGGGCAGCCTGCAGGCTGAGCTCGAGGTAACTGTAAGTACGGCATGCCCCTCCTTTCTCCGCCTGCTGGACGTCGCACGCTCGGGCTGGCGGGAGGAGCGGCTGCACGTGCTCTCGACTCCACCGTCTCTGTGTCGGTGTCTCTCTGTGGAGCCGTCGGCACGGAGGCATGACTCGTGAGGCCTCGCTGGTGAGGTGGTGGCGCTGAGGCGCAGCGCGACGGGTCGGGATCTGGTTTCGATGCCGCGGTTTTGTTGGATGTTGTGCTGGATACCGTTTGGAAGCATGCGAGAGTAGTGGTCGCGCGCCATGTTCAGGACCGTCATGCGAGGTGTCTCCGACGATGACCGCTCTGGCTGCCCTATAGAGTCCCGGAGACTTGGCTCTGGCTGACCTCTGTAGAGGCTCGGCGGCTTGGCTGTGGCTGACCCGTGCACAGTCCCACAGACTTGGGTAGGTGCGCATCGACCCCCATCGTTTGTCGCTGTTCGGGTAGGTTTAACGCGAAGTGCCGGACGGCTCGTCGGGCAGCGCTTTGCGGTACGGACTGCGTACTTCGTTTGGTTGGCTATGTGGTGATGGACGTGTTAGTCGCACAATCTTGAGTGAATCTTGAAACTAGTTAGTGTTTTCATTGTGGGTCGGCAGCAGGCTGCAGTCAAAGTTGCCTGCATCTTTTTGATGCAGCAGTGGTGTTTTTAAGCTTGCTTTCGATCAGATGCCATTATAACGTTCATAGCATGAGAAGTGCCGCACTTTTGGGGCTGTCGGCTGTTCTTGCCCGCTGAAGCGCTGTGAGATTTTTACACCGCTCTTGGAATCACTGAAAATAGTGGACGGGCGTAGTGGTTTTGGAGCAATTAGGACACTGGGTGAAACTGCTCAGTTTACAGGCATCCTACAGCTCGGTTTACAAACATCCTACTGCTCGGTTTACATACATCGTACTGCGCGGTTTACATACATCCTACAGCTCGGTTTACATACATCCTACAGCTCGGTTTACATACATCCTACAGCTCGGTTTACAAGCGTCCTACAGCTCGGTTTGCAAACATCCTACAGCTCGGTTTACATACATCCTACTGCTCGGTTTGCATACATCCTGCAGCTCGGTTTACATGCATCCTACAACTCAGTTTACATACATCCTATAGCTCGGTTTCTATGAGATTTGGAGAGAACACAAACGCGAGCCATTGCCTGCAACGTTTTCTTTGCACCTGCATGAGTGCACAGCCATGAGCGACAAACATTTTCAGCTCAACTTATGCTGGACGGAACGCATCCGATAAACTTTAAAATCGTGAGCTTTTTACACTCGTTGTCGAGTATTCTGAGTACTTTTGTCCCAAAACTCTCCAAGATGCGGCCGTGCAGAAGTCCGCCGTGCACGACCCCCCCCCCCCCCCCCTCCCCAAACGATAGCTAATGTCTGCTAACGTACTGTCGGCGCTCGCAGGACGCCGAGACGGCCACGGACCGACAGCATACGGCGGAAAAAGGTCAGACCACCGAAGTTTCCATGGCAACGCATGACCAGCCGGCCTCTCCGCCAAAAGCCACTGGTACGGTGATGGGACGCATGGTCAGGGGGGTTTTCAGCCCGACGACGCCCCCGCGGTCCGAGCCCATGCGGGTTTGACCGGTGATTTGAACACTTTCGAGTCCGCTCCGTTCAGCGTCCAGCTGTTTGTGCCAAAGTATGGCGTATTTTCGGCCTTCATAGTGGTTCTGCCTGCATGTGCTATGTGACAGACCGAGCAGAAAGTCGCTCGCGTCGGGCTGTGGTTTGCCCAGCGTGTTCGTGTTGTAACAGTGCATGCTGACGCCCCTGGGCATATTTTTACGTTAGGCTGGTTATGTGCTTGATTACTGGATTTATCGGAACCTCGGGGATGGTGCTGCGTGGCTGTACGTAGCGTTTATCCAGGTTTGGTGGTCACTAGCTGTAGAGCAGTCTGAATGAAAATTCTCCTGTTCAACAAAGTTGGGGTATATCAGAAAAACATGTCTGAAGATTGAAGAACATGCACAATTTCATTACAATCAAGCTTCACATAAGTACCCCGTATTTCAGGGTGGCATTGTTCGCTTTGCGAACAGACAAGTTATGCAAACTGCATGCGTTAAGCTTCATCTTTATCACAGTGATTCATATACGCACGAAGAATGTGCATGTAATGGACGATGAACCCATACATTTGTTTTTATTCCTCTCAAGTAGGCGGTGTATTTATCGCACTGCCAAGCTTGAGCATATCAATGGGATAAACTTAGCAGAATAGCAACACCAAACAGAAAGACCTTCCTTGTGTAATGCTTGGAAACAGCTCGCAATGCATGATGGAATGCCTTTTTTTACCGATCGCTCACAAAGTTTTTCCGCCTTGTGGCCATTCTTCCTCCCATTGTATCAAGTGTTCTGTGCGCATGAGTCCCGGTGAAATAATTACGTGATTGCATTGCATTCAAGATCGGTATCCATGTTTTGCGCAATGAGATGTTAATACGGGTGTGGCAGTTAGAGGGCTTGTTCCGAACATTTCTACCGATTCATACAGCTGTCTGGCCTGCGCTGTGTTTGTCACTTTCTGTACACATCAAACACATATATTAAAACATCTGGAATGCTTTATTTTTCATTGCTTCCATCCTTATATTCAAGCAAAATAGCAACGAAGCCCGCCGTCGCATACAAGTGCAAACCTGTTTTTGTGCGACCCCCACACCCTTCCCTCCAGCCAACTGTCTCCTCTGGCGAATGGCGTACTCGCTAGTTCGGTTCTGCAAAATCACACCAAAATGTGTCGACTTATGGGTGGTGAAGTCGTTGAGCTGCATGGCCGTGGCCGTTGGCTCTGGCATCAGGGCCGAGCAGTGTGGCATAGTCGCGCGGCGGTGACACGGCCGCCGCGGCCGTGGTGGTCTGGCTCGGACTCGGCCGTGACGCGCCGGAGCCGTGTCGCGCGCGCCGTCCGCCGCCGCTGACTGCGAGGCCCTGTGTCGCCGCAGCGGCCAGCGTCTGGGACCGGGAGATGTCGATGGATGACGTCACGCCCGATCACGAGGACGGGCCGGCCGACTTCAAGCCGCCGGCCGCCACCAACACCACCACTAAGAGGTACCTGCGGCAACCGCGAACGCGGCGGGACGGCCAGGCAGAGACTCGGCGCGACGGCGGGGGAGGGGGGGGGGGGGAGGACAAGCCGGCACTGCATAGGGAGGGGGGACACGGTAGGAGTGCAGGGGAGCGGGACACGGCAAGACTACAGGGAGAGGGGGAGACGGGTATGGTAGAATCCCACACATTGAAACATGCTTGTTTCCCCAGCGTTTCGACACCAATTTTTCTCAGCCTTCTCCGCCCACGACCACTGCTAGCTCATTATAAGTCTTGCATGCACTAATGGTGTACGGCAGCGCCAGTGCTCACGTATCATAGCATCGAACGCCCGTTGTAACCAGTGTGCCGCCATGACGTCGCCGCAGACGTCTGACCGCTCCTGGCCCTCCCTGTGGCAGCGAGCACCGGTCCGCGAACAACCTGTACCAAGAGCTCAGCTTCCAGGACGCCGTGCTGGAGGCGGACGACGGCGCTGACATCACAGGTTTGCCCGCCCGGTGCCATGCCGTGCCGTGGCCGTGTCCTGCCGTGCCGGAGCCGGATGCAGTGGACCGATCGTTGGGGGCGGGGCGATGTTGTTGCGCGGGGCGCCAGTGTGGGATAGGACTTTCGGAAGCATGCCAGCGAGGCGGAGTCGCTTGCGGGGAGAGCCTTCGACCTCTCTCCCCTCCCCCTCCCCAGCGACCTGGGCGGCGTGCTGGCCCTCTGTCTTGGACTCAAAGGCCCTGGACCTCTTGAGGGCCTGCGACCTTTTGACCCCGTGTGTCGTGACCTCATGGGACCGGTCAGATGACCCCGAGCTTGGCGGCGCGCGGAAGCGCGGCGCCGCCGTCCGTGCAGCACACTAACCATGCCCCTGTGCTGTTTGCGCCGCTAGGAGGATGGGTCCACCCCGGCGAGTACGCGTCGTCAGGTGTGTCCCGTGGGAGAGGCACGCGGCTGCATGCTAGCGTGCCGATGTAGCGCCGTTGGCATGAGCTGGCGTCGGCCTCGTGGCGTCGGCCACCGACGCCGTTGCTTCGCCCAGACGTTTGCAAGTCGTGGTCGGCGATGCAAGCGCTGAGGGCAGTTTGCTAACGCGGCGTGAATCTTGAGACGCGGTCAGCTTTGCCTGGCTTCACCCCGCTCTTACGGCTGGAAACCCAGTCCTCAGTATCGTGTTCAAGTTCCTTTGCGTAACCTTTTCAGTTTATATGTGTAGGGTTTTTATTTTATTTGTAATTCAGTTGCCTCTGTGTTACAATGTAAACGAAACTCGACTGTCTGCTGAAGCTTGCATTGTTAGCGTTTTGTTTATGTGTGTTCCGCCTGTTTCACGCCAAGAATGGGGCTAGTTGGTTTCTCTCTCTCATCTCATTGCACTACAACGTGCATGCGCAGCTCAGCACCGTATGAATGGTGCTGGCCCTTGTAAATATGATCGGGCCACGTCAGGAGTGGGCTCCTGGCGTGGCCCGGGGAACGGGCTGGTCGGTTGGGGTGGGCTCTCCGCACACTGCTGCCCGTCTGCCTCTCTGTCGCTGCCGCGCGGCCGCACTGCCGGCTCCTCGTGACCTCGCATGGCCTGACCTTGCCCCGCCGTGCTGTCAGACTCCGAAGAGGACGAGGGCACCAGCCTGCCGCCAACGGCCGCACAGAAGCATGGTACGAGCACGGCACCCGACTTTCTCGTGCACACGCCCTCGCTGCGTGCGTCCCTCGCTCCCTCGCCTCCCGTCCCCTTCGTCCCTCCCTCCCGTTGGCGATCTTCTCGCCTGTGTTCGATCCACGCCCTCACGCTTTCACGCGCGTGCTTTGTTTTGGGAGGACGCTGCGCCCTGCAGTTAGTGGGGGGCTCCGTCGTGGAGCTGCACCAGCGGCCTCACGCGGTGCGTCTGTCCGCCTCCGGGGCGCGGTCGGTTGCACGCTGTTGCCGCGGTGCGCGGGTCTCCTGTCCCCGGCGGGCTCTGTGCGGGCTGTCCTCGCGGCTTGTGGTCGACGTCGTGGACGTTGGCGGCGGATGAAGGTACTGGAGCATGGCATCCACCCAGTCCACCCGGCGAGGCAGCGCGCCGCGACAGCCGCCAAGTTTGCCCCACGTCCTCCCGCAGGCGATGGGCGGGCGTCTAAACGACAGAATTGTGCGGCTTCGGCGAATGGTCTGCTTTGTCGTTAGTTCGGTTTTGGCTGCTATCAGCATTGAGCGGCGATTCATTATTTCTTCGTGCATGGCCTATGTCACTGAAGAAGGGCACGAGTTTTCTTTACAATGACCATAGAAAGAATGTGATGCGCGAGTGCCTCCATGAGGAAAGGAAGCCTTAAAAACATCACTGATTTCTGAAAGAAGTCGCGTTCTTGGTCCTTTTACTGCCGTGCAGAGTGGTACGTGGTCGCGTGGTGCGTGCCTGCATGCCTCATGGACGTTTATCGAGACTCCAGGTACCGGGATAATCCTCGAATAGGTGATGGTCGGACATAGTGAGCAGGTTACCATGATTATGCGCACTGATGTTCAGCAGGAGACGCGTCCGTGTGCCGCCCCAGTGATGTCGCAGCTTGCTCCAATATATTTGTCTTTTTTGTCCCTGTCCATGTCTGGATTGGTGCTCCGATGTCTTTTTTTGTGTGTTTTTGCTACCCGTTTTAACGTGAACCAAGCTTGCGTTTATGGTGTGATTAATTCGTGTTTTGCTTTTTGCAGCCAGCGATAATTTCTTTGGTGAGTGCTTTTCATTGTCTCCATCGCTAACGTTCCATTGTTGGGATGGTGTTGTCCCCAAGCTTGGGCAGCTGGGCAATCACTTGGCAATTTCCACGGGCTGGCGGTGATCCCACGCGGCGGGTTTCTGTCTCGCTGCATACGGCAGGCAATGGACGTTAAACAGTGCTTTCCGTGTGGTGTAATTTCGAGCATCTAGTAAGTCGTTGAGCTTTTGCTGACCGACTCCGAACGGTTTTCAGGTATGGGCCGGGAGGTGGAGAACCTGATCATGGAAAACAACGAGCTTTTGGCTACGAAGTAAGGCTCCGACAAAAGATGGCTTTAAAACTGTGTGTCCGCTGCGTCCATGCCCACCAGTGCATGGTGGTATTTAGGACACGGAACCTTTAGACATTCCAGTTCATATGCTGCTGAGAGATTGTGTTCAGTCAATCGTTTTAGCATCCGGTTTTCTCCAAGTATGTTGTCATCTTGTTTCGTTGATACCGTTAGCAAGGGAAGATACGGTTGGGATGCAGCTGACACATGCAGTTTAAAAGCTTTGTTGTGTGTTGAAAATAATGTGTGGCTTCTAAATGTCCCGCCATTAACCTCTCTGTCAAACTCTGGTCTCTTATTGGGTGCCTCCCAATTTTTTGTCACGGATCTTTTAAGCCTTACACGACTTGTTCTTTATAGGACTCAACACCGTCCGGTTCTTTTATACGAGTCGACACCTGGTGATAGCCCTATGATTATCTGGCCGAAACGTGTGCATGCTAATGTCTTACGAGGGCATCTGTAAGAGCTGAACAGCTTTGCTTCCTGCTCATGAGATGGAGACGAATTCATATATGTGACAATACAAAGAGACCTCAATATTTTGTAACTTATACACGCGATGCAGAGTACGCTTAGATCTGCCCCTTGTCATGTGCTATGTTCCGCGCTCGAGAGCGACATGAAGTATATAGGTGCTTCTGTCGACCGCTTCGTCCTACCGGGCTGTAGTGCTTTGTAGCGTGCACCGTGCGGGCGGGAGGCATGCTTAGAATAAACGGAGAGCCCGACACCGGCCTAATAAACAATCGCCAGGTAACCTGAACTGTCGCATGGACGACCCCTCCTTCGCCGGGTCTGTCGCTGTGTGCTGTTGCGGGCGGGTTTGGCGCTGGGTTGCCTGCCGCCTGTGCCGTGCTGTGTGGTGCAGCGTCCCTCTCCCTCGGCCCTGCCGTCCTCTAACGCCTCTCGTCTCTCCCCAGGAACGCGCTGAACATTGTCAAAGACGACCTTATTGCCAAAGTGGACGAACTGACCGGGTAAGAGGCGTGCATGCCGAGCCTGTCCGGACGCCGCCCGCTCCGTGTCCCTGTCCACTGGCGCCCTGTCAGCGACTAGAGCTCTCTGTCAAACTCGACAGGAAGAGTTTGGTGAACGGTCCGGCTTGCCCGACGGGATGACAAACAAAAACATGACTTCGGTCGCATGTGGCCTTGTTGGAACGTTTCCCTAAAAAGCCTGTCGGTTGATCTGCATTTAGATCTGTGGCATGTTTGATTCGTTTCAGTGACAGCTGGCCGCCCTCGCTCGTTGTGGTGGCCGTCCCTGATCTTCGTGACGGCTCCTGTAACCATTTGTGCGTGCGTGCGTGCGTGCGTGCGTGCGTGCGTGCGTGCGTGCGTGCGTGTGTGTGTGTGTGTGTGTGTGTGTGCGTGTGCGTGTGCGTGTGTGTGTGCGTGTGTGCTCGCTGTGCGTGACGCGGCCACCGGGCGTGCGGACCGCGGCGCGCCCTGACGCCGCTGGCGCCGGCGTGACTGCAGGGAGCAGGAGATCCTGCGCGAGGAGGTCAAGTCGCAGCAGGCCGTGCGCTCGCGGCTCCAGCTGCGCGTGCAGGAGCTGGAGGATGAGCTGAAGCGCCACAAGGAAGAGGTCGAGAAGGCCAGCAAGGAGACCACCGAGGAGGTACGGCGGCGGCGGTGTCCGGCGGCGCCCGGCGCCGGCTGGCTCGGCCGCCGACGGACGGCCGACCGTCACCTGCCGTCGCACGGCGTCGAGGCTTTACCATCCGGTTGGCCGTGCGCGGTGTCGCCTGTTGTCTTCCATGTGAATCGAACAATTGGAGCGTCTGCATCCCGCGCGCCGTCGGTGTCTCGGTGGCGTTATGTGGTTTCAGCATGGTGCTGGGGCAGATGTGCGTGCTCTCAAGCTGTTGTTGCCAGTAGCCGTCTTCAGGCGGCGCCTGGACTGCGGTGAGCTGCGGGGGATGTGATCCCAGCCTTGCCTGACTCAGGAGTTATGCCGACCCGCCCCGGTCCGATCCTGACTGACCCCTCCCACCGAGCCTGACCCCTACCTGACCTTTCGTCCGCTGGCCGGCAGGACGACATCCCGATGGCGCAGCGCAAGCGGTTCACGCGCGTGGAGATGGCGCGCGTGCTGATGGAGCGTAACCAATACAAGGAGCGCTTCATGGAGCTGCAGGAGGCGGTCAGGTGCGCGCTCGCCGCCGGCTCTCGCCCCCGGACTGCTCTCGGATAGACCGGGGCATGCGGCCACGCGGTCGGACGGTCGCGCGGTTCCTTTCGGCGAGGGCAGGGCTGTGCCGAAGTGCCACGCGCATGGAGGTGTTATTGCGTGTCTGTGGCTCCGTCTTGGGTTAACCACGCACCGGAAGTCATGATGCAGCCGCGGTTTTGTTACCTGCGCATTGTCGTCTGATGGCCTGTATCGGAGGAACCTGCTGAATCATTGTCTCCCCGGTCTGATCGATGTGCTGACCTCAATCACGATCTTACCTCTGCCGTGCTTGAATCTCATTTCAGGTGGACGGAGATGATTCGGGCCAGCAGGAACGATCCCAACATGGACAAGAAGAGCAAACAGGGCATTTGGAAATTGTGAGTTCATGCTGCTTATTTCACGCGGGACTCTGTAAAGAATATTTTAACAAGGCTTGGTGATAATGGTACCGGATTTCCCAAGCCCGTGTCGTTTGTGCCTTCGTAACTTCGATATTGTCGTGATGGTTGACGAGCTGTGTACCGCTGTGTGGATGGGCTCTGTGTCTGCGTTCAGGAGGCACGTGTTCACGAGCACGCCCTAATGACCGCGTGTCGCTCCTGTTTATGAGCGCGCCCTGACGACCTTACGTCGGCCGGCAGCTTCAGTAACCTGTTCAGCTCTTCGGAGCCGCGGCCATCCAGCCGCGTGCTGCCACACGGCAACATCCAGTACGACGCGCCGTCGAGCTCGGTCAGCCCGGCCGAGCCGAGCCGGCGCCGCGCCGGCGGTCAGGAGCGCAGACGCGGCATCGACTTCCTCGACACGGACATGTGAGTGCCGGCTCGCCGGCCGAGGCGCCAGTTCACTGACAAACGTGCACCTGCTCGTGCCACGCCGGCGAGGACTCGATGCCCCTCCCCCCCCCCCTTGCTTGGAAGTTATTGGGTTAAGGTGTTGATTGTCGATCGTATTGGGATAGGATAATCCAGGGTAATCGCAGTGGCGTGGCCAGGATCTGTGGCCGCAGTCCATCCGGTACTGTGGGGGTTTGGCTGGGTTTGGAGCCGAGTTTTGTTGTGGGTGCGAGGGCCGCCTTGTTAGAGGGAGCCGATTGCTGTACAAGAGACACGTTGCTGTTAGAGGGATCAGGCACGCCCAGACGGTGCTCGCTTGTCTTGACCGAGGTGTTGCCCGCCGGCCCGGCCAGCTCGTCGGAGAAGCTGCAGCAGCGGCGCGCCACCGAGCGGCGCGAGCAGTACAAGCAGGTGCGCGCCCACGTCAAGAAGGACGACGGCCGCATGCAGGCGTACGGCTGGTCGCTGCCCGCCAAGGTGAGTAGCGGCCCCGAGCCGGCTCGCGTTGAGCGGCGCTCCCAGCCCGATGTGGGGGAGGGAGGGGGGGGGGGGCTCTGACGTCCGGGACATCTGACGAGGGTGAAGGAGGCGCCGTGGAATCGAAGGGATGATGTTGGCTAGTGTTGGCTAGTTTGCTTTCGTTTGGATTTTCAGTGAAAGGTGAAACGACCTTATGAATTTGCCCCCTGCTCTGAATTGGGAGTGGAACCGTTCATGTGGGTACATTTCTTCCGAAATGATCCATACCTGGATCCGGATTCTTCAGTGTGTGGTCGTTTTCAAGCGCCAATGTCGCACAGATTTTCCAAGTTTGTTCTTGGGTAATAACATAGGTGTCCGCTATGCTCGTGGGGTCTGTTCTACACCACGTCCCCGTGCCTGGGCGTGTCCGACGGGCGCTGTCGACGAGCGTCGCCCGCTGACCGGTGTCGCTGCCCGGCACCGGCCAGGTCCCCGGCGCGCTGCCCAGCGCCAGCGTGTCCGGCAAGAGCGAGAGTCACAAGTCCTCGCACGTGCCGGTGCCCGTGCCTGTCTACTGCCGGCCCCTCATGGAGAAGGAGCAGGGCATGAAGGTGAGCGGGGCGTCGCTACGCCCGATTTGGTCTGGTCCCGCTCCCGGCCAGACGGGTGGCCGGCCGCCAGCTGGTGTGATGCCCCGCACCCCCACCCCGCTGCCGAGACTGCCTCCGCACTGACGGACGCCTTCCGTGTCATCGGTCGGTTGTTCCGTGGGACGCAAACGTCAGTTTTCCGTGTCAGTAGTGCCTGGTGTTTCCCACACCTCCGACTAGCAGTGATCGGTGCTCTAATCGGTCATCACCGATGCCTTAGGTGCAGTCCAGTGTCTGTCGTGCCATCTTCACAGAAATAGAATCTCAGCCCCGTGAAAAGCTCGCTAGTCGCGCCATTTTTTTGTATTGTCCTTTCTTCCTAGCTACGCAAGTTGTTTATTCCATTTAGGAGGAACATTGTGCATATAGATGATACAGTATTAATGGTCTGATTCGTCGTACAGCAGACGGGAGGATGGAGAGAGATGTGCTTTTTCGGCTGCATGCCTTTATCGAAACGAATATCAGTAGTAAGTCTAGTAAAGTAACTAAAATAACGGTCTGATGTTCCCGAGGAGAGATGCCTCAAAGAATCCTGCTGCTCCCGAGAACGCGTTTGATCGTGACTGGGAGGAAGGGGGGGGGGGGGGGGTCCTTTATTAGCGCTGTGGTCACGGCGGACTTTTTAAACTCAGTTGCTTAGAGAGGCATATTTACCACTGATATTCGTTTGGACAAAGGTATGTGTCCGAAGTGTCACATCTCTCTCCATTTCCTGTCTGTTTCACGAGAGGTAAGACTATTAATATTGTATGTTACTGCTAGCTTTCCATTGTCTGCTCTTGCTCTACTCGTGCGGGATTGTAGTCTGGCAGCTGTTACACTTGTCACGTTTCTCCGTTACCGCAGTCCCCCATAACTCGAAAGCCCCGTTCTCCCACTGCTGCCCGGCTGTGGGGCCCGTGCGCTGTGGTGCCTCCGCCGCCGTTCGGCCGCGGCTCCCGTGACCGCCGTGGTCGCCGCAGATCTGGTGCGCGGCCGGCGTGAACCTGAGCGGCGGCCGGACCCGCGACGGCGGCAGCGTGGTCGGCGCGTCCGTGTTCTACTCAGCCACCGCCGAGCCCGGCTCGCCGGGCGACGGCGACGAGGTGGAGCGGCTCAGCAGGCAGCTCAAGGTCAGGGCGCGGGCAGGGTCAGCGGTCAGCCGGCAAACAGGTCAGTGGTCCGCTGACCGGGGCGGGCGGCAGGGGCGGGCCGGACCGATAGGGAATGATAGGCAGAGGTCTGCCGTAGTGGTGGTGCAAATCCCCTTTGCAAAAGCATCAACACGGAGGGCTCATCGTGAGAAGACGCCGCTTACGCATCAAAGCTTTAGCCGTAGCCCTTCTCATGGCATGTCACGAAACGCATAAAGCAACAGTTTTAGTGCTGATGACAAGTATACAGTTCGTCGCGTACCCTAGCCGGCAAGTTCATGGTAAGCAAAATGGCATGTCGGTAGCGCTGTGTTGTCGCTGTCCGTCCCCCCAGAAGCGTAAGTTCACTCCTTTGACCACCGCGCTAACAGAGGATCGCCCCCTGATCCGATCATTGGCGTTTTCGGGAGCAGCAGGCTCCTTTGCGGCATCGCTGTACTGAGGAGCGGCAGACCGCCTCCGTGTCGGCGGCGCTGACCGGGCGCGGCCATCCCTCAGGAGCAGCAGGAGATCCGCACCGCCAGCGAGACGCCGGAGCGCAACCTGTCGTCGCTCGTCTGGATCTGCACGAGCACGCATAACGCCAGCAAGGTGACGGTGATCGACGCCAACAACCCGGCCGATGTGCTGCAGTCGTTCCCGGTCTGCTCGTCACACCTGCTCTGCATCGCCAGCGTGCCAGGTACGGCCGCCTCCTGTCTGGGCCAGACCGGCGGGACGTGTCTGCGCTCCGGTCCCGGTGCCGCCCGCCCGCTCACGCGCGCTGTGTGCTAGCTGCGTCCGCTTGCTCGCGTCTTTGCTTGCTCCTCGCCCTCTGCCGCACGCGCGGAAGCTGACGCACCGGGCGTGGTAGGGTCTGCCTGCGTGAGGTAGATTCTGACATGGCCAGTGCGAGAAGGACACCTCGTCTGCCGTTTTGTCATGCTCTCGGGTCGCCGTCCAGCCGGTGGGTGCCGTACCCCGTCTTCGCTGGGTGAGCTGTCCACGCGTTCTGTTCCACGTCGTCGTCTGTGGACTGGTCACGAGAGTCACGTGCGGGCCGTCCCGGCGTCGCTGCATCCGTCAATGTGGGCTCGGCTGCCGCAGAACGGCCCGAGACGGGACTAACCTCGTGCAGAGATGGTGGTGGTGGGGGTGGTGCCGCGTCTGCCGCCGCGTCTGTCGTTGGCGTGTGTCGTGTTGAGCGCGTTCGGTGAGCGCCCGGCGTCCGGTGAGCGGCGGTGCGGCCTGCGCAGGCGCCAAGGAGTCCGACTACGGCGTGGTGGGCGAGCTGGCAGGGCTGGCGACCGAGGAGGCGGCGGCGGCGGCGGCCGGCGCCGACGCTGCCGACGCCGCCGACCCGGCCGGCGCCGAGGGCCGCCTGGCCACCATACGGCTAGTCAGCTGCGGCACTGGCGACACGGGACCGGCCAGCGGCCCGCCCAGCGGCGTCAGCGACCTCGACGGTTAGTGGCCGGGGCGGAGTGCTGCGCGCGTGCGCTGCTGCTGCCGTCAGCAGACACCCGGCAGATGGGCTGTTGGGTCCGTCCGCGCTGCTGGGTCGTCAGCAGGCACCTGGCGGGCCGTGAACAGGACAGCGGGAGTCTGGGTCGAGCGCCCGTGATTTGGCAGGACACGGGGTCCCGTTGCCGGCCTCTCCAGACAGTCAGCGTGTGGGGCAGGGAGTGCTCAAACACACTAGTGGGTGCGCGGCGCCGCAGGTTGTCAGCGAGGAGGGCTATGCGCCTGCTGCACCGGGCAGCCGTGACGTGTACCAGTCACATATGGCGGGGGACTAAGATGACGGCGCTTTTGCCGCTTTGCTGGAATGGAGGCACTGGTGTACATGAAGCGATACACTTTTCACAATGCCTTTTGTTTAACAAGTTGTGAACATTTGGTACGGAAAGATGCTTGAACTGACGTTAGCTGCGTCCTGGCAGACTCTTAAAGTAGGAGACTTGCAGATCAGCCCTCGTGAGTTGAACCTATGCAGCGCTGCGGGCTCATATCATCCATGTAGTAGTTTATCGCCAAGGTTTGCACATGGCCCTGGTGTTGTAATGTATTGATGTTTAGCATGAGCCCCATGACAGGCTAAATCGCACTTCATTGGCACTTTCATTACGGCGGCGTTGAAGTGCATGGTGTCGCTGTGCACCATGAATTACAAAAGTAGCGAAAATTCGGCAGTGCTGGGACGTGGAGTATTTTAGGCTGTACCAGGTATCTTCGTTTAACCAGATTCTCTCGCTACCTTTAAAGTCGCTTATTCTCAGCACGAAAACTTACGTTGCCGAAAAAAAACTATGAGTGACGCTTTTGTACTGATAAGTTGAGTAAGCTTTGTTGGGACAGAAAGGTGTAGCTTTCTTAATTGGATTGCTTGCACGCTCCAACAGGACTAAAATTCGTGAGCTTTTGGGTCGGGTCACCTTCTTTCAACTAAGATGTAATATGCATGGAACTCCGTGAAAACTTCGATTTCTTCTGAAAGCAAAATAATGGCTTGGCCCGAACGTCTTTAGCGTGGACGGCTTTGGGGCTGCACCCACCCACATCAGCAACAGCAGCACAAGTAGCACCAGCAGCAGCGGCACAGCTTCAGCCTCGGGCCCTCCCCCGCCTCCAGCTTGGCTGGTCCGTCCGCACCAGCCGCCGGCCACCGTCGCCGGCAGCGGCTCGTGACTGTCTCTCCGGCCCTCGCCGTGACTGTCCCTCCGGCCCTCGCCGTGACTGTCTCTCCGGCCCTCGCCGTGACTGTCTCTCCGGCCCTCGCCGTGACTGTCTCTCCGGCCCTCGCCGTGACTGTCTCTCCGGCCCTCGCCGTGACTGTCTCTCCGGCCCTCGCCGTGACTGTCTCTCCGGCCCTCGCCGTGACTGTCTCTCCGGCCCTCGCCGTGACTGTCTCTCCGGCCCTCGCCGTGACTGTCCCTCCGGCCCTCGCCGTGACTGTCTCTCCGGCCCGCCGTGACTGTCTCTCCGGCCCCGCCGTGACTGTCTCTCCTCTCCGGCCCTCGCCGTGACTGTCTCTCCGGCCCTCGCCGTGACTGTCTCTCCGGCCCTCGCCGTGACTGTCTCTCCGGCCCTCGCCGTGACTGTCTCTCCGGCCCTCGCCGTGACTGTCCTCTCCGGCCCTCGCCGTGACTGTCCTCTCCGGCCCTCGCCGTGACTGTCTCTCCGGCCCTCGCCGTGACTGTCTCTCCGGCCCCGCCGTGACTGTCTCCGGCCCCGCCGTGACTGTCTCTCCGGCCCTCGCCGTGACTGTCCTCCGGCCCTCGCCGTGACTGTCTCTCCGGCCCGCCGTGACTGTCTCTCTCCGGCCCTCGCCGTGACTGTCTCTCCGGCCCTCGCCGTGACTGTCTCTCCGGCCCTCGCCGTGACTGTCTCTCCGGCCCTCGCCGTGACTGTCTCTCCGGCCCTCGCCGTGACTGTCTCTCCGGCCCTCGCCGTGACTGTCTCTCCGGCCCTCGCCGTGACTGTCTCTCCGGCCCTCGCGTGACTGTCTCTCCCCTCGCCGTGACTGTCTCTCCGGCCTCGCCGTGACTGTCCCTCCGGCCCTCGCCGTGACTGTCTCTCCGGCCCTCGCCGTGACTGTCTCTCCGGCCCCTCGCCGTGACTGTCCTCCGGCCCTCGCCGTGACTGTCTCTCCGGCCCTCGCCGTGACTGTCCCTCCGGCCCTCGCCGTGACTGTCTCTCCGGCCCTCGCCGTGACTGTCTCTCCGGCCCTCGCCGTGACTGTCCCTCCGGCCCTCGCCGTGACTGTCCCTCCGGCCCTCGCCGTGACTGTCCCTCCGGCCCTCGCCGTGACTGTCTCTCCGGCCCTCGCCGTGACTGTCTCTCCGGCCCTCGCCGTGACTGTCTCTCCGGCCCTCGCCGTGACTGTCTCCGGCCCGCCGTGACTGTCTCTCCGGCCCTCGCCGTGACTGTCTCTCCGGCCCTCGCCGTGACCGTCTCTCCGGCCCTCGCCGTGACTGTCCTCCGGCCCTCGCCGTGACTGTCTCTCCGGCCCTCGCCGTGACTGTCTCTCCGGCCCTCGCCGTGACTGTCTCTCCGGCCCTCGCCGTGACAGTCTCTCCGGCCCTCGCCGAGACTGTCTCTCCGTCTCGGCCCTCGCCGTGACTGTCTCTCCGGCCCTCGCCGTGACTGTCTCTCCGGCCCTCGCCGTGACTGTCTCTCCGGCCCTCGCCGTGACTGTCTCTCCGGCCCTCGCCGTGACCGTCTCTCCGGCCCTCGCCGTGACCGTCTCTCCGGCCCTCGCCGTGACCGTCTCTCCGGCCCTCGCCGTGACTGTCCCTCCGGCCCTCGCCGTGACTGTCTCTCTGGCTCTGACGCCGGCTACAGCGGGGCTGTGTGCTGCTGTCGCGTAGTCCGACGTCTGGGCTGGCCGCTCGCTGGGTGTCCGTGTCGTGCGCTGTCCCAGGACCGCTTTGGACGCGTGCCGTGGTGTCGCTTGTGAACCGGAGCGCTCTGTTGCAGACATCAGGCCCGTCCTCAGAAGGGAGGTCAACACTGGTGAACACGGTGAGTGGTGTGCCGCCCGGGAATGATATCCAGCATGGATTCTACACACTTCTCCCATCATCATTGTCTTTAATGACTTCCTAAGCTGGACGGGCTCGCTTCGTGACTCACGAAAAATAACACGGAGCCTTTTTGCGGTTCGTGCTTGGCCTTTGTGCGCCCGGTTTAATGTGCTGCACGCTTGCGGGCGTTTTCGGCGCATGATGCTTTGGCATTGCCCTTGCCGTTGCATAGCCATTACAATGCCGGGATCTCGGGCATACTGTGCATCGGACATTGCTCTCGGCTTCAGCCGTCCTAATGTGGCTTGGGCTAATGGCAGGTTAGACAAGGTTAGGATGAGGTTCGCCTCTGGTTTCCGGCTGTGTCGGTGGCCGTGGTGCCGAGGACGTGTGCTGCCCGGCGATTTGCCCCGCGGTGTACCAGAACGTCGGGCCTGCACTGAGTGTCCCCCACTCCCTGTCCGCTGCGTCCGTCTGGTCCGGGGCCTGACTAACGCGCCATCTGACGCCAGTCCGACTGGTGGGGTCCGCTCGTGCCGTCGCGGTTGCTCGGTCTTCCGTACGCGGCCCGTCTGCTTTGGGTGTAGTCTGGAGTTGCTGGTATGTTTGCACCGATTCTTGACGTGTAGGCCATTTTCCCGTGTTGCAGTGGTAAGTAGGGTCGTGCGCAACCTTTTGCTTTCGGATGGTTGCGGTTGCCGGTGGTTGTGGTGGCTGGCTGTGCGGCTGCGGTTTGTGACCTGTCATCGGTTGCCCGTTTGCTGTGTTTGTGGTCTGTGACGACTCTCTGGGCTGGAGCCATTGCTCGTATCTTACGAAACCACCCTTCCTCTGGCTGCGGCTGATGTGCCCTGTTGTCTTGCGCTGTCGTTGGTCCGTGTATGGCGATACGTGGTCTTCCGACGGTGGCCCGCTGGGCTGTGCTGGTCCTGGAGTGCAGCGGGCTGGGCGCGCCATGAAGCCCAACGCATCATCACCATCGTCACCAAAGCATCATTACCATCGTCAGTGTCTGATGGATGTTCCGTTGAGAATGGCCCGTGTCCGATGTTGTGTGGTCCGTCGGTGGTGGTCCGCGTATGGCGTGCACGGTTCGCCTGCGGTAGTCGCGCGGTAATGGTCCGTTGCTGATGGTCTGTGTGTGCTGTTGCGTGGTCCGTCGACGTTGGTCGTGTTGTCTCGGCGCCTGGTCCATCGGGCGGTTTGCTCCGTGTCTGGTCCGTCGGCGGTGGTCCTTGTCTTCTATCGGGCGGTCCGTGTCCGCAGCGGCGGAGAGCCGCCCCTCCGAGGACGCGTCCGAACAGCCTCAGGCGGAGAGACGCCTGGTCACCTCACCTACTGACGACATCGTCAAGGACGGCCTCACTGACGGCGTCACTGGTGGGTATGACGTCACACACAGCCTGCTCACCTCACTGACGACATCGTCAAGGACGGCCTCACTGACGGCGTCACCGGTGGGTATGACGTCACACACAGCGTGGATCACCCCACCCACTGACGTGGTCAAGGACGGCCTCACTGACGGCGTCACCGGTGGGCATCACGTCACACACAGCCTGCTCACCTCACTGACGACATCGTCAAGGACAGCCTTACGGACGGCGTCACCGGTATGTATGACGTCACACACAGCGTGGTCACCTCACCCACGACATCAAGGACGACCCCACTGACAGCGGCACCGGTGGGTATGATGTCACACACAGCCTGCTCACCTCACCCACTGACGACATCGTCAAGGACGGCCTCACTGACGGCGTCACCGGTGGGCATCACGTCACACAGTCTCAAGGACAGTCGCTATGGCGGTGTCACCAGCAGGTGTGACGCCTCAGACAACATCGTCAGCATTGCTTAGCTGGCGGCGTCAGCGCCGAATATGGTGACACCCGTACAGAGCGGTCGCGAAAGAGAGCCACGCCGTCACCGGGTCTGCGTGGTGTCACCCCCCGACGAGGTTGTCCTGGACTCTGGCGACGTCACCGCCGGTGTGACGTCACCCCTGACGGTGTCGTGGTCGACAGTCCATTATCTGGCGTCGTCACCTGTAGAATTCACTCGAGCACGGACGCTACGCCCGGAGGACGCGGCGGCTAAGCCCGCGCCTCGCCGGTGGTTGTGTCGGTGCTGATGACATTGGACTTAAGCGTCCTCCCGATATCGTCGTGTGCGAGCGTATTTCTGAGCAGCCGTCCTTGTACCCGCCCGCCTCCCGGTCGTGCATGCCGATGGTAGGGGACACCTATCATAGCACTTGTGACAGGCAATGAGCCGAGGTTCGGAAGGGTACCTGCATTATGTACAAATTTCGCCGTCTCCGGTAGTGGTGGGGAATAAACGCGTGCTTCCGGTGAACATAGACTAGCGTAACGTAAACGGACCTCCTTCGCGAGAATATTGTCTTTCACAGTGCACATGTTTGGCGGGACTGGGTCTGTCCCATCCGGCTATAGCCGCCGGTGCCTTCCGCTGACTTGGGACGGGCGCCAAGGGAGCGGGCCGGCCGCCCCGTCACTGGAGCGAGCGTGCGTGTGAGTCGTGCGGACGGCCCTGCCGACAGAGCCCTGCGTCGGCGAGGAGGAGGAGAAGATGTCCAGCGTGCTGCCCACCATGTGGCTCGGCTCCCAGTCCGGCTGCGTGTACGTCCACTCGGCCAAGGCGCAGTGGAAGCGCTGTATACACTCCATCCGGCTCAAGGACTCTGTGCTCAGTATCGTGTAAGTTGCCCCCCCCCCCCTCTCCCCCTCCTCGCCCTTCCCCTTCCCAGAGAGTACGGCTGACAATTGACGACTTCCATTATAGCATCATCGGACGACTTTCTTCATTTGTTCTCTCGCGAGTATATTATATATATATATATATATATATATATATATATATATATATACTAGATTATATATATAGATATATATATAGATATAGATATAGATATAGATTATAGATATAGGTAGAGAGAGAGAGGGAGAGAGGAGAGAGAGAGAGAGAAAGAGAGAGAAGAGAGAGAGAGAGAGAGAGAAGAGAGAGAGAGAGAGAAGAGAGAAGAGAGAGAGAGAGAGAGAGAGAGAAGAGAGAGATAAAGAGAGAGAGAGAGAGAAGGAGAGAGAGAGAGAGAGAGAGAAGAGAGAGAGAGGAGAGAGAGAGAGAGCGAGAGAGAGATGTATATATATATATATATATATATATATATATAATATATGAGAGAGAGAGATATGTATATATATATATATATATATATATATATATATATATATATATATATGCTTCTGTTTCGTCTTGATTGGTTTCTCGGTTACGTATCCGCCTCTGGCGGACATCATAATGCATTCCTTCGATGTGTTTTGGGTCCGTGTGTTTCGCTGAAGTGGACGCGCGTTCCCATGTGCGCGCTGTCTCGGCTGGACTGTGTGGCGGTGTCTCAGCTTATGACAGAGTCTCAGTCTCCATCTCACTCTGTCTCACTCTGTCTGTCGCGGTCAATTGGACATGCCCCGTTCAGGCAGAGACCGAGGCTCTGTTCAAGCGGAGACTGAGGCTCTGTTCTGGCGGAGACCGAGGCTCTGTTCAGGCGGAGACTGAGGCTCTGTTCAGGCGGAGACCGAGGCTCTCTTCTCGCAGAGACTAAGGCTCTGTTCAGGCGAAGATCGGGGCTCTGTCCAGGCGGAGGCTGAGGCTCTGTTCAGACGGAGGCCGAGGCTCTGTTCAAGCGGAGACTGAGGCTCTGTTATGGCGGAGACCAAGGCTCTGTTCAGGCGGAGACTGAGGCTCTGTTCAGGCGGAGACCGAGGCTCTGTTCTCGCGGAGACTAAGGCTCTGTTCATGCGAAGATCGGGGCTCTGTCCAGGCGGAGGCTGAGGCTCTGTTCAGGCGGAGACCGAGGCTCTGTTCTCGTGGAGACTAAGGCTCTGTTCAGGCGAAGACCAGAGCTTGTCCAGGCGGAGACGGAGCGCCGGCCCCTGTCGCGTCCCCTGACGCCACCTCGTGTTTGCAGGCACGTGAAGGGCCGTGTGCTGGCGTCGCTGGCGGACGGTACGGTGGCCATCTTCCACCGCGGGCAGGACGGCCAATGGGACCTGACCAACTACCACCTGCTGGACCTCGGCCAGCCGCAGCACAGCATCAGGTGCGGCCCCGGCGCGCGCGCACCCACACCCTCAAACGCTCACCCGTGCACACATTTACTAGTGGGCGACAGGACCAGACCCCGGGCAGCTCCGGGAGGCCCCCGGCCCAACCCGGCGCGTGCGGGTGACAAGACCAGACCCGGGGCAGCTCCGGGAGGCCCCCGGCCCAACCCGGCGCGTGCGGGTGACAGGACCAGACCCCGGGCAGCTCCGGGAGGTCCCCGGCCCAACCCGGCGCGTGCGGGTGACAGGACCAGACCCCGGGCAGCTCCGGAAGGCCCCCAGCCCAACCCGGCGCGTGTGGGTGACAGGACCAGACCCCGGGGAGCTCCGGGAGGCCCCCGGCCCAACCCGGCGCGTGTGGGTGACAGGACCAGACCCCGGGCAGCTCCGGGAGGCCCCCGGCCCAACCCGGCGCGTGCGGGTGACAGGACCAGACCCCGGGCAGCTCTGGAAGGCCCCCAGCCCAACCCGGCGCGTGCGGGTGACAGGACCAGACCCCGGGGAGCTCTCGGAGGTCCCCAGCCCGGCCCGGCGCGTACGGATGACAGAACCAGACCCCGGGCAGCTCTGGGAGGCGCTCAGCCCGGCGCGTCGGACCGCAGTGGTGTGCGATGTCCGTCAGACGTCAGCTCTGGTGCCGGCTTCCGTTGGCCCGGCCGTCTTGGCGACTGCTCTCGCCCCCCGCGGCGTCGCTGGTGGTGTCGGTTGATGTCGCCGACCGGTGGCTGGCGCCGACCGTTGGTAAGGCGCGGTCCCAGAGCAGCCCCGCCGTCGGTGCCGGCTGCTCAACGCTGCCACCTTCCGCCCGACTCCGCCGCTGACCTCGCCTGACCGCCGCTCCGGCCGCCGCCGCTGCAGGTGCATGACGGTGGTGCAGGAGAACGTGTGGTGCGGCTGTCGGAACCGGGTGCACGTCATCAACCCCAAGACCATGCAGGTCCAGGTGAGCGCCACTCTGCCTAGACCACGCCGCAGGCCCCAGAGCTGGTGTTCGGGCTGAGGACAGCCGTCGTCACGGCGGGTGCCAGCAGTTTCCGTACTGTTCAGCGGAAGATTCCGACATCCGCGTAGTAGTGTACGTAGTATGTAGTGTACGTTGGAGGCCTGGTCGTGATGGAACTCTCATGCGAACGCCATGGTTTACTTTCGTCCGTGTGTTCCAGCTCAGATCCGTAGTTTTCCTACCCTAGATCCGTCGTTACGCGTCTGCCCGCGCCAGGCGCCCCATACCTTATAGCGGGCGTGACCGCGGTGTGGCGCGATCACACCCTCCCGCGCCCGATCACCGGCTCCAGCGCGTGTCCAGCCGGTGACCGCCGCCCTGCCGCCCGGCAGACGTCGTTCGACGCGCACCCGCGCCGCGAGTCGCAGCTGCGCCAGATGGCCTGGCTGGGCGACGGCGTCTGGGTGTCGATCCGGCTCGACTCGACGCTGCGCCTCTACCACGCGCACACGCAGCAGCACCTGCAGGACGTGGACATCGAGCCGTATGTCAGCAAGATGCTGGGTGAGTGCGGCTGGCGCCCGGCGGTCGCCAGTGGCGCGCGGTAGGCGGCGACCCTGTCCGATGGCCGCCGAGCTGGCCCGCCTGGCGGGAGGGCGTGCGTGTGTGGGATGTGGAAGAGCAGTCCCATCGGCCGTCGGCGCGGCGCGGCTTGGCTCGGCCCGGCTCGGGTGCGACCTCGGCTCTTGGTACCGTGCCGTCCCGGGCTGCGGTGGCGGCCGCCCCTTGCTGTGAGCGGCTGCCGCAGGGTCGCGCCGGCCAACGCCTGGCTTGCCGCCGTTGCTTCGCTCGCTTGTTGGTCCGACTGGCGTTTAGTTGCGCCCGCGCCCTCCCCGTTCTCACACGAGCTTTTTCTCTTTCGTACGCTTCCCGTGGACTAGGCCTTGTGCCAGGAGGTTTGTATGAACTTTGTGTAGTTGCCGCTTGGTTGCACAACGCTGTTTTTTGCTTGTCCATTCGCTGCTGCCTCGCGCATTGTGCAGACGGTATTCTCGACATAGCCCATCATAGCGACATAGGTTTTAGTGCATAGTCCATCAAGTTATGACCATCTGGACTGGAGTATGTCGTTTGCGTTTAAGACAACTGAAAACCGCGAGGCGTAAAGAGTTCTGCTTGGTGTGCACTGGTCAGTCAGAAGCACGGCCCTGCCCTGGTGAGCCGGCCGATGCCGGACGAACGTCCGTCCGCCGGGCGCTTCCCGCCCTGCCCCGTCCGCTGCGGCGGTGTGGAGCTGGAGCCCGTCCCCGGACCGTGGGCCGGTGGGCCGCTGGGTGCTGCCGTTCCGCCGCGTGTGGTGGCGTGTGTATGTATGATGTGTGCGGCCGTCGTCCGCCCCTTGGCCGGGGCCTGCACTAACCGGAAGTATTCTCTCTCTCTCCCCATCACTAGATGTGTCCGGTGTTCCAGGCACTGGGAAGCTGGGATTCTCCTTCGTGAGAATCACCGCGCTTCTCATATCGTCAAGCCGACTCTGGATCGGCACGGGCAACGGAGTCGTCATCTCCGTCCCGCTCAATGCCGACGGTGAGTTACGGCGTCCCTCCCGGCGCTTATGGTGAGTTATGGCGCCCCACCCGGCGTTGATGGTGAGTTAGGGCACCGCACCCATTGCTGATGGTGAGTTATGGCGCCCACCCGGCGCTGATGGTGAGTTATGACGTTACGCCGGGTGCTGATAGTGAGTTCTAGTGTGCCGCCCGGGTGTTGATTGTGAGAAGCATCATCGAATGCGGCACGGATAATGAGCATGTTGCTCCCATTCAGCACTGGGGGCAAATATTTTTCTTCTCACTTAACGCTGATGGGATGCACATATGACAAGTGGTGAGCATTCTCCACGAGTATGGTGGACGTTTTCTTCCGCTTTTTTTCCTTTTTCCCACGCATTTTCTCCCGATTGGTATTGTTCT